ATATTTTGGTACCCTCAGTGCATGAAGCTTGCAGACGTGGTGCTTAGTGATACCATGCAAGCTAGCCAGAACTAACTCTGCAAGCTCCATCTTGCACATGCAGGTTATGTATGCAGTACTATAACGCTGCATAGTCCTGTGCGATGATACTGGTGTTACTCCTCAAGCCTCAACGCCTTGATTATCGGGGCCAGCACCGACATTCGTCGGCGTTAAAAAGCCCTACTGTCAAGGCCCATGTGTATCTGAGCACAGACAAAACGATCCTCTTGCAACTAGATGGTGAGTGGTAATAGGAGGAGCCCTGGTTACCATAGACCAGGTGCTTCCCGCCAAGCTAGCTTAGTTATTTTCTGGAACGTGCCAAAGCCATGAACCAATAATCCGAGTGATCGGGTCGAGCAGACTAACTTACTTGAAGGTCGTGAACTTAAATATGCTGAATACTTAGATTATTTAGGTTCCCTTTACTATTCGAAAACATTAATACCTCGATTCAAGAAAAGGTCCGCATAATCCTAGACAGTTTGTGCCTGAGTGCAGTGGACAGGAAACACGCCGCCAGTCTGGAGGATTACGGTGTTGGCCCTGGTCTAGCCAAACCCGACAACCAACAAACGGCCCACAAAGCATACAGCCCATTCATTCAGCTCCCACCACTTATGCTCAAATCGTCTTGGGTCAGGTCACCGAAATTCCGCAGTACACTGATCCGCTTTGGTCGACTTGCCAAGCATCAAGGGACATAGTGTCTGATCCATCTCCTCTAACAAAGACTACATCGATGTATCACAGGTTTGAAACTGGATGCAGATTGGTAGGCGTTCAAGCCTAAAGGAGCACATGCTGGCGCTCTTGGTCAGCGCGCGCTTCGGAAGATTTATATCCTTGTTCACGAGTCCTCCACCTCTCTTCAAAGGTTCTCTTTCATCCTTCCTCGACAAGGTGTGGACTAAAGCTGCAGTGTGCTTGGATCTGATACGACCATATAGTCCGTCGGGCTAACCCTGGCTGGGGGCATTGGTGATTTTCAAGAACATTACTGCAAGCGTGATCTGACAGATCGAAACCAACACTATCACGACCAGCGTCTATAGTTACTGCAGTGAGTGTAGAACTCGGCACTACAATCAATTGATTCCTCGTATTCATAAACGCAAAGCCTTCGTCAGAATTGGACTCAACCCAAAACTAACCGGCACTGCTTGGCGGTCTCCATATCTAGGGAGTAAGGGCTCTTTCACAGTCATTTGGATCTTGATAGGATGGGAGAGCTCCTATCACAGCGAGAGATGGTTGCAGCATCGTGCGAAGTGCAATGTCCGAGAAGGAGCCAGGGTACTATCTGAATACGGATACCTGGAGTTATTTTGTTGTCTGTTGTATCGAGACAACTGAGGCATTTCTCCACAGAGTCCACGAAGGGTCCTCACCTATGGTGTTTTACCTGTTTCAAAGCCGTTTCACGTACCGAAACTAGGACCATTGAAAGAACGAGAGCTTGCGTTGGGCATAGCTATCCCAACCACAGCAAATTGACATTGGCGGAGTTTGTCTACATTATCGTCACCGCTAGACCATTGAGGGGTTGCGGGGAGGGTATGGTGGAGATGGATCAGAACCGCTGCCAATATCGAGCCTCGTTTTCGTTCATCCTTCAAGATCCCAGGACTTCCCTTGCAACAAGATGTGGAAATTGCAGCAAGGCATGCTTTTCAGCCTGAAAGTTGATCGGTGGGGCGCGGACCCGAGTCTCCGGCTTGCTTTGTCTTAGGCATTATCAGTCGAGCTGTTGTTAACTTGGTCCCAGGCTTTTGTGGTAGAGCAAAGTGAGATAACTATGCCTGTATGCCATGCTACCAACAGTCCCATGGTTATCAAAGGAACGGTTGTGCCTCTATCTCACTGCATTTCATAACTTCCTCTATGGGTATGGAGTCCGGCCTGGGCTACGATCTGCGGGCTTATGACGGTCATTTTAATACCCAAGACATGTCGTAAAGCCGTCGACGCACTTCTGACACGCTGAGACTCGATTTGGCTCAATGAGGCCAAAATGGTATAATCAACCAATTTCTTTTGCCAGTTACAGTTACCTGTTGATCCCTGCTTGACAGCTTCGTGACTCTTCTGGGCCAAGTACAGCAACCATCTGTGCTTACCTCTACTACGAGTCAGCGTGTCGGTACGACAGGGAAGCCAGGAATGGAGGCTCTGGATGAAAGCAGAAGTATCTCCGACCAGCCTCATGGCGATCAATGCAGCGAGGATTTTCTGGTGGTCGCAGCCGCCATGAGGAACACCAGGATCAGACGGGAATTGACCCACCTCTTCAACAGACTACCTAGTTAACTCCGGGACTTACTTGTGATGATCAAAGACAACAACATTACGCTGTTTGACAGCGCACAGTGCTGCAATCAAAACAAAGCATGAATTCCCAAAGGAGCGCGCTTATGTTGGCCAATAAACTTGTAGAAACGAAGGCTCTTCATCAGGGTTGATCAGAGTAATCCTGACTTCTTATTTGATACCTCTACCCCAGTATAGCTGAAGTGAGACCGTTGGCAGTTGACACATTTACCGTCAAGTGTCTTGTTGGTGGCACCAAGGTTCAACGACCAAGAGAGCCAAAGAGGGTCCCTGGCGTTGACAGGTTGGTGGGAAACGGCTGAACCGTTCCGCTGGTGACCCTCCTCGGTATTTCTTTCTTTCCGACCAACTCAGATCCTCCGTGGAGGCTACAGGATACAAGTGCTGCGAGAACATCTGTCTATCTGGTTGGCCGAGACACGTAATCCATGATCAGCGGGGTGTTGCGATTAGCATGGCATCTTTACAATAGCACCTCCTCCTTCGTTATCAGATCAGGGAGGAGGTATGTCTTGTATCCTTGGAAGAACGGTACATATCACTCATGCTATGTGTACGATGATATCAAACTACATCGGATAGGCGGGACGACAAAACGCGTAGCAGCTGTGCTGAGCGGCTACGCATTCCGGATCCTGTGGAGAAGACGTGTTGTCAAAATGCGTCCCTAAGTTACAGGGGAACGAGACCCTGTCTCTTTGCATAACAGAGTGGATGTGATGGGTGCTTGCTCACTAGCTTTTCACGTTTCCAACCCTACCATTCCAGTCCAGCACGAGGCAACCTAGCCTAGCAGAGTTTTATATCGCAACATCCATGGCACTGAGAGAGCTCAAGCAAGGGGATTAGTTTGAGACTCTGAATATCCCGGTCGTAATTTAAAACGAAACGATGCGATAGGTACGCTCAGGGAGAATCGGAGGCCCGTGGCCGCCGAAGGGGTACAGTGCCTAGTGAGTAGTTGGAGATTCGGCATCCTGGACCTATCATGACACTTGAGGGGAAATGAAAACTCGAAACAAACCTAAATCACTAGTCGACCCTACAGTGTGTGGGCTCACATACGTGCATACACATACATACACCAAAGGCCACCACAACTTGGTCGATAACAACAAAGATCTGCAAATACTCAAGAACGAGACCGATCAATATCGGACTAGCACGTTAACGTCAACTTCAGCCCTCAGATCCTTGGCTTCCCCCTATTGCGCAGCTCGTGCGAGAGGCGCTTTGCAGTGCATACGCATCTCTGAGGTTAACTCAACTCAACCCAACTCGACTCAAGCCTCCCTCCCTAGTGTTTAGCGCTGTCCCCTCACCTCGACGGCAAATGACGGATTTGATCCCGCGCCTGCAGGGCTATCTTACCGCTGCAGGTCGCGATTCAGCCCTCGCCCATCGGCTGAGCAATATGACAGCTATGCTTTCAGGCATACGCATCCGTGATGGAGTGGTTGCCACTAAGCACTTTGTGTGCAACCTAGACGCCGTGTCGCTCGTACTTCTCACCGTCACCCTCGTCGCTTTCCTCGTCCCCGTCTTGATCCTCTTCCCTCCCGTCCCCGTGGATTGCAGCGATGTCCTCCGGCAGACCCACTCGCGGGCCGGCGAGGCCCTCCGAGACATGGACATCGGCCCTGGCAGATCGCCCGATCGCCGGCTCCCCGGGGCAGAGCCGGAAAGGAAGCAGGCTGTTGCGCAGAGTCTGCGTATTTTCCCTGTTCAATCATGTCGTGGAATCGAACTAGAGCGCGACGGTGCCTCATTCAAGCACTCAGAGTTTGATCTTCTATATACGCTTGCTCGACGGGACTCTGAAGCTGGTCAGAAAGATGTTTGGCAAGCCATCTCACACGAACACTTCCCGTTGCTAGCCAACATCGAAGTCGACCTCTGGATTCCTGATCCAGACAAGACTAGCCGCCTGTTGGGCCATATTGAAGGTTCCTTTCTTGTCTTGAGGTTTCCCTGGACAGATTCAGGACTACAGGGTATTTTGCAACAAGTCGTAGCCAAAATTAGCCACGGTTTGAAAGCCACACCTGAAAAGGAATTCTTGTTGCCAGTGTCATTCCCGAACGAGGGAGAAATTCGAGCAAGAGGTTATTCCTTCACTGAAGTCAAGATCGGCGGAAAAAATACGATGGGACTGAATATGGATGTTGAACTTCCTGCCGAGCTGGCTCGGTATCTTGGAGCTAAGCAACAAATTGGGATCTTCAGGGTAGAACAACTGTAATGTATGAGGGCTCTCGACCAAGTTGATCAACACATCGACAGATTGAATGGGACTGATCATAATTTGTTACGTCCAGCGTATTCTGTGTTCCTGGAGAAACAGTTACCTGGCACACAACATTATTTGAGGGGATACAAGTCAATTTAATATTTACGATCACATCACGCAATCAACTTATCTCCTGAATAGTGAAGCACCTTCGAAGCTTTCAAGAAATTGCAGGCCATACATGCCTTGACGTTACTAAATCAAACGATATCACATGGTATCCCAATGCCTAAAATACATCATACCTCCCCATCCAGCCCGACGCCTCATGTACAAAACCCGGTCTAGTCCTTGTCATACACTCATTCCAGACATTTCCCAGTTGCCGTCAACATCATTACTTCATATCCGCTGGCGTGAGAGCCTGCACCATACTGGTACCTTCGCTGAAGCGAGTGCGGAAAATGCGGTTCGCGTTCTGGAACATGCCGTCTTTCAGACTGACGACGATGAACTGCGAGCCCTTGAATCGGGTCTTGATGAGACGACCGATGTTCTGGGTATGTGACAGATCTAGCGCGGCATCAACCTCGTCAAGAATGTACATAGGGGCAGGCTTGAACTGGAGCAGAGCCATGATGAGAGATAGAGCAACCAACGATCTAGAAGTCAGAGCATTAGCATTTGTATATCAGGGATAGTCAGGGATTGCATACCTTTGTCCACCACTCAGTTCCGTCAAACTCTGCTTCCACACTTTACCAAGACAGACCTTGACCTCAAGACCATCGCTAATAGTCTTGCCCTCGGGAGGATCGAGCTTGGCAAAGCTGCCTCCGGGAAGCAACTCGGAGAAGATGTTACCAAAGTCACCATTGACCTTCTCCCATGTCTCGTGAAGTGCCTTCTTCTTGTAGTCATCCAAGCTGACGATTGTCTCTTCAATCTTACGCTTGTCCCTGATGACAGTCTTGATCATGTGCTTGAGCGACACCTCCTTCTTCTCAACACTGTCGATCATGTTCATGACCTTGGGGTTGATCTTCTTCTTCATGCCCTGGAAGCGCTCAGTCAAGTTATGTAATGTTGACTTGCACTCTCCAATGTTGTGGTTCTTGAAGTCATACGGAGTTCCGCTGCGACCAAACTTGTCCTTTTCGTCCGCAATCCAGTCGAACTCCTTCTCTAGTCGGGCGACCTTTTCGGCAGCACCTTGTTGCTCTTTGTGGAACTTCTCCACAAGATGACCAAGCTTCTGCATTTCGAGACTCTCCTCGGCAATGCGTGAGTTCTTGGAGCGAGTGGCATCTTCCAAGGCTCGAAGCTCGTCATCGAATTGATGCAGCTTGGCGCGTTCATCATCAAGCTGAGCCTGAACAGTGTCGTGCGTTTCCTGAAGTTCAGCCTTTTGCTCTGCTAGGTCTTGAATGTCTTTCTGTTGGGCCTTGATGGCGATCTCGACTTCTTGCAACTGTTCTCGAGCAGCAGACAAGTCGACACCCGCTTGCTCGGCGTCGAGTTGTGCTCCCTGGAGTTCTTTTTGCAAAGTCTTTACCGCGGCAGCGTTCTTACCGAGGCCAGCTCGCAGCTTATCAAGTGCCTTCTGCAGTTCGACGAGCTTGGCATCCTTGTTGTTGTCGAAGTCATTCATATCCTTCTCAATGGTCTTTATGTCGGCGACCGCCTTTGCTTGTCGAGTCTTCGCCTCGGATATACCCTCTTTGAGTTCTTGAATGGTTGACTTCATATTCGCCACTTCCTGAATGATGGAAGACGAAGAGTTGCCGCTGATCTGCTCCTCAGCAAGTTTGATCTCGTGGCTCTTGAGATCCAAGTCTTGCTTGATTCTGCGAGCTTGGTCCAGCTTGGCCTTCTCCTTAGTCATGCGGGCTTGGAGCTCCCTCAAAGCACCTTCGGCTTCGCTCAGTTGACGAGTCAGGCCGTTGAGCTTCTGGAGAAGTACCAGAACACCGCTCGAGTTTGGTGAGCTTCCGCCAGATAGTGTACCAGATGGATCGTACGCATCTCCTTCAAGAGTGATACTTCTCATGCGCACGTTCGGGTCGAAAGTGACCCTCTTAGCAGTATTTGCATCAGCGCAGATCAGAGTATTGCCAAAGACATACTCCATAGCTGCTGACACCTCGTGATCGTAGCCAACTAAAGACAGCGCCAGATCAACCTTGCCAGGTGCGATGTTTTGAGCCGTAGCGATGGTTTGTGCTGAAGCTTTGAAAGCAGCGATCTTGTTGAGAGGAATGATAGTGACACGCTTTCGTAGCTTGCCCCTTTGTAGCAGCTGTGTACCTGTGATCTCAGTATCAACCACGACGTTGTATAGACGTCCTCCGGCGCAGATCTCCAACGCAGTGCCGGCCTGAGTGTGCTCCTTGTCAAGAGTGAATAATTGGGCGACAAGACCCTTGACCTTGGATCGATCAAAGTTGGGCACAGGATCCGCGTAGTTGAACTCTGTGTTGGCGACTTGGCGCTTCAGCTTGTCAGATTCCTGCCTCAAATTGCGAACTGTTTGTTGCAACTCTGACTCCCTCTTAAACATCTGCTCTTCCTGACCAGGTTCGAAGCCCAGTCGACCAAGTTCTTTCTCTAACTTCTGGGCTTGTGTCTTCAGGCCTTCAAGATCGTGCAGAAGATCGGCGTTCTGCTCCTTCGCCTTTTTTGCACGAGGCTCCTCTTCCTTGACACGCTTTTCCAAATGCGCAATCTTGATCTTTGCTTGCTCTTGCTCTGTAGCCGCCGTCGTTGCACGATTCTTTGCATCTTGAAGTTGACCCTGGTAGCCGTTCTCTTGGCCATCCTTGGAGGCCACACCTGTCTGCAGAGTTTGAAGGAGTTCTTCCTTAGACTCAGCGTCTTTGTTTTGCTGTTCGAGATCTTCCTTGGCGGCATCGTACCGGGCCTTTGCGTTTTCGAAAGCGGCTGTCTTCTCCTGCAGGGTGGCTTCCAACTCTGAGACCGTCTTCTCAACAGCCACCTTCTTTTCTTCTTCCTCTGACAAGCTGGACTTCTTCAGATCAAGAATGGTGGCTAGTCGCACAAGCTCATTCGAGTGCTTCTTGGCTGCCTCCTCTAGTGCTGAAGCCTTGCCTCCTTTTCGAAGCTCCTTGTCTCGTTGAGCTCGCACTTTCTTCACATCCTCTTCAAGATGAGAAATTTCGCTCTTCAGACGAGCTGCTGACTCCTCCAGATCGCGCCGCCTTTGCTTCTTTCCTTCGAGATCTGCTGCTGACTGGCTTAGAGAGTCTTGGTAGCGCAGATAATCGTACGCAACGACCACTCGAGTCAGTCTCTCCAGGTCGTTTTGAGTCTGCTGGAAGTCTAGGAAAGCACGCTTTTCAGTTCGCAGCTTCTCCAATTTGGGCTCAATCTCGTCCTTGAGGAGCTCTCGAAGCTCGACTAGCTTGGTTTCCTTCTTGGCCATTGTCTTGAGCGCCTTGTCTCGACGATCCTCGAACATTCTGGTTCCGGCAGCTTCCTCTATCATGGCCAAGATCTCTACAGCCTTCATATTGAGGACTTTTGTGATGCGACCCTGCATAATGAGGAAGTTGGGGCTGTTGATGTTGAGCTGCACCGACTGGAATAGGTTTTGCACTGTCTGTTGTTGAGCGCGGTGGCCGTTGATGAGGTACTTGGATGTTCCTCCAAGGACGATCTGTCGTGTAACACTAATGGTGGCATATTCTTCGAAACCGATCGGGGACTTTTTGGTTTCTCGATTGTCGAAAACAATTGTGACGCTGGCTTTTGTCACACCAGCTTGACCGCGCTTATATATCAGGTCCTGTGGTTGTCGTCAGTATGTACTGAAGGTGGTCGAATCGGCGGTGACTGACCTGTAGATTTTGCGCTCGAACCGTTGACATGTTTGTAATTCCGAGAACGAAACATATCGCATCGAGGATGTTTGACTTTCCACTACCGTTGAGGCCAGTGATCGAATTGAAACTCTCGTCCCTGTATATGTTGGTTATTGTTCCTCGAATGTTTTGATAGTTGGCTTACCATCCTGAGATCACGGTACGCACGGCATAAGACTTGAAGCCCTGTAAAAAAAAGAAAAGTCAGAATGGATATAGCAGGAAAATAGTATGAACCAAGTACTCACGTCAATAATTACTTCAATAACCCTCATGTTGGGCGAGGTTGAGTCCGCGGCTTCGTTGAATCTTTTGCTATGTTTCGTCGCTCCGCATCCAAAGGGGGAGGGGAACGCGAAAGTAAACAATAGAGTTGCGACCGATAAGGCGTTATCAGCACGTGTTGGCTGATATCATTAAATTGGCCGGGCGTTAAGAAAGGTACTTGAAGTTTAGCTTCGGCACAACGGTTATAGCCCTGTAGCTCAGATTGAGCTATTGTTAACTTCGTAGAAACTATCAACGAACAGAAGCCATTATATGCGCTTTGTTAACCCGCTGAGGCCTATGACACTTTGTTTACATGCCTCTGTTTCATAAGAAATACATCCTCAACGTTCGTTGGCCGTGAATAGCAGCTTGAGTGAGCCCCACTGCCGAGCTGGGAAATCCATCAACGCTAGTCTGAATTCGGCATACGGGTAAACATCCCTCTTTGTTATTGAGACCTAGCTCCTCTCGCACTTCGAGTTCACAACTTTCAAACACACTAAACTTTTCGACTTCATCCCGACCTTCCAACCCGATGAGTACATAGCCAATATCGCACGAACAATAGTTGATAATCAACTCCAATCACCTCCGCACGCGCCCCTTTTCAACCGACGCAATGGCGGCCATGCGAGGACCGCGCATTCCAACCGGCTCAGCTGCTTGGGTCGCTGATGAGCGCGCTTCTGCCCTTCAGATAGTTGATGTTGAGGTAGACGAGTTCACATACGCGGCTCACAATGAGTTCTCATGGCTCAATGAGCACATGGCCAATATCTTCAACGAGAACGAAACGTACGCGTCTTGATCCTTGTTTTGACGCGATGTACTGACTGGCCGCTTGGTAGGAACATCGCCGAAACGTTCAAAACACCTGGAAGACTCCGTGGCAAGACACCTCGAACAGCACGAAAATTGATCACAGAGCCGAGAGTGGTAAGCTTAGCCGCCAAATGTCCACAAATAACACATATTAACTCTTCGAAGCCCTTATCCAATGTTTTTGGGGGCACACCATCGAGCTCAGCAAACCGATTCGCGCAACATCTTCTTCTTCAGTCTCCCCAAAGGGAGCTTGTGAACCAAGCAAAGTCTTCTTCGCCGAGAAGACATGCCCCATCGCCAAAGTCAGCGCCTCCTACCTCTGACGGACCAGTCGAAGACGCGCCAGAACAGCCTTCAGATGACGCCCAAGCCATTCACTCGGACCAGGACGCCCACATGACCGTTGAAGAAGCATCGGAACCAGTTCCAGCAGCCAAATCACAACCGGCTACGCAGGGCGACTCTGGCTATTTCGGAAGTCAAGATGTCAACCCTCCCAGCTTTGATCCCCTGGAGGACGAAGATACCTCAAATATTGACCCTGTTGCCTTGGATGAAGCCATTGCTTTCCCTCAGCCAAGCCCCTCACGGACATCTCTTGCCAAGGACCCCATCAAGACTTCTTCGCCGATCAAGACACAACAAGCGACAACTGACGTTGATATGGAAGAGGCTCAGGCCGAGCCCCAGGAGGACGAGAACGCCATCCAGGATGATGCACAGTCTCAATCTGATCGCCACAGCCCTAGTCCCGTCCGCCCGGGCTTCCGCAACAGCTTGCAATTCCCTTCTCTCCCTGCTCGTGAGCCTCTCACAGCGGGTAAGAGTATTGGTGCTAGAGCTTCTCGAACAAGCCATGTCGATCCTAAGAGGACGAGTTACTTGGGGAGAAACACAAGAGGAAAAAGCCTGGCAAGCCACGCAGAACACAGTGCATCAGACGAGTCAGATCAAGACGAGATGGACGTTGATGATTTCCCTACAGTGCCTCAACAGCCTAAGAACGCTGAGGAGCTTGCCATCCACCACAACAAGACATACACCCAGATGCTACAGGACCGAATTAGTGTACTCGGTAAATCGCAGCCAAATGGAAGTCGACCCTCGAAGTCAATTCACAGCATCACCAACTCTCAGCAGCCACAACCTGTATCTCAGTCAGTACCTGAACCTAAATCATCATCGCCCAGAAAGGTGGAGACCACAACAACTCCAGGTGCTTTCCCCGAAGACGAAGATGATGATTGGATTGTCCCTCCCACTACACAACAGCCTGTTGCTCCTACGCCCACAAGGCCGTCACTTTCTAAGAGCCGAACTGCCGATGTAATGGAAGGAATCCACGGCAAGCAGACTCTTGGATCTTTTGACCTGGATGAAGACCGTGACAGTATCCGATCACCGGCTCGGGCCAACAAGCCCCAGCGACCTGCATACCTTGGACACTCCAAGTCTGTATCGGTGCCTGCTGTTCCACTTATCCCAGCTTCGGATCCAGAGGAGGGAAGCCCATTGAAGAAGACGATATCGGTAACGAACGCTTCTGTGAGACCAGCCACTGCTGTTGCACCTTCTTCCTCATCCCCCTCCAAGTCTCCAACGAGGCTCTTCCGTGACAGTCCTCTGAAGCATCTCAAGAACAAGATGTCATCCATTCTCAGCACTTCCAAGGGCCTGATCGCCAGCAGCGCAGCTCTGAGCGCCGAAGGCAAATCATCCCTGCTCTCGCCATCTCGAGCTCAGCTTGGAAATTTCCCTGATCCTTCTTTGGATTCAATCGTTCCTAAGGCAAGCATTGACTCCCACAGGAGTGGCGATACTGTTACCGATCAGCAGTCAACTGCTCCTCGACCAGTTGCTAAGCGCACAAGAGCTTCAGTAGAACGCGAGAAGGAGGAGAAGAGAAGGGAGAAAGAGGCTAGAGTCCAAGCTGAGCAGATGGAGAAATTGGAGAAGGAGCGCGAAAAGGAAAGGGAAAAGGCCAGAGTTTTCAGCAAAGAGCAGGAGAAGCTTGCCAACATGGAAAAGCAGGTCGCTGCCAGGAAAGAGGTTGAAACACCTGCTCCTAAGGCTACACCTAAACCAACCCGAACCAGCCCGCGAAGGGCTAAGCCTCAGGAGGAGACAGAGGTCAAGGCCGCTGACCAGGAGTTTGATATGGGCGATGCACCTGTTTTGGTACCCCCTCCTTCTGCTCACAGATCCGCCATTCCTGGACAACTATCTCGCCCCAAGGAAATGAGGCGAATCGCGAAGCCAGGCCGAGAGCCAGCGGCGAAGACAAAGGCGGCACCTACCGTTCACATCAAGGTCAACACTGGCTCACAGTTACACCCTGGCAACTCTGTTGCTAGTGGGTATCAGGACTTCGGTGCTTCAACAAGCTCTCAACCTCCTCAAACAATCAGCAAGGCAAGCAAGGCCTCTACACAGCCCAAGCAATCTGTACCAAACTTTGGTGCTTCTACCGGATCAAATGGGCGGCCTAGAGGTCTCGATTTGGCTGCACAGAAGAAGGCAAAGATTGAGCGCGATCGCGCAGCCTTGAAAGAGGACAAGAAGAAGCAAGAAGCCATCCGTCGCCAAGAGGAAGAGCGACAGAAGCGTGAGAAGAATGCCCAGCGTCAAGCAGCTCAAGACCGACTGGCAATCATTGAGAAAGCCAAGAAGACCCCTGCGCCGCCCCCAGCTGTTCGGTCACAGCCAAATGGTCCACCTCAGTACAGTCTACAGCAGGATAAGTCTGCTTCGGTACAGCGAGAGGGACCACCTCGTCCTCCTTCTCGTATGAACTCCGGAATCTTCAGATCGCAAGATGACATGGGACGACCCGTCAATGCTAACTTGACAAATGGTTCTAAATCTGGCCCCAAAAGGCCACTTCGGGATGCTAACGAGGATGGACCTTCAAGACCTCCACCTGCACGTGGACCTCAATACCAGGCAAAGGATGCCAAGCGTCGTCGAACGAGCGATGACTATGCTGATGAGCTTGATATGGAGCAGCCTCCTAATATCAAGGGACCTCCAGTTCGTCCATCCAGCGCTCTTAAGAGGGTGAGCAATCAAAGCGTGTCTTGTATTCCAACAAAGGTTAACAAGTACCAGGATCTGCAGACGAAGACTCTTACGAGTGGCTATGTTTCCCAGGCTAGCGCACAGAACCTATTCAAGACTGGCGTTGCTCAGAGTCAAATGAAGGGAGGCAACCCTATGGACATGGCTCAGATTCACAAAGGAACTATTCCTTTCGCCCCGAACCCCAACCCGGCGGGACCTTCTTACAAGACACCTGGACGTCCCGGTCCTGTCAATGGAATGAAGTCTGCAGCCAAATCTGTACCAAGATCATCACCGCGATTCCAGAATGGCGAGGCCATTGAGCTTCCTGAGATCCAGACAGACGATGAAGATGAGGACGATGATGAACCGCAAGCGGGTACGGTCGCAGCATGGGCTAACTCCCCATACATTCGAGATGCCCTCTTTAGACAGGAAGATATTGACCCTGCGTCAATCTTCGGGCCTCCTGCGCCCTTGAACATGGAGGAGGTCTTCGACAAGAGCAAAGACAGACACCACAAGTTCCGTGCCCGAACATCCAGTGCCAACTGGAGCGGCACAGATCGTCTTACTGAAGAGGACATCCGAAAGAACCTGGCTGCCAGAGACAAGCTCAGACGTGAGGGAGGCTGGTCTTACGAACTGAGCAAAGATATGATGTAATGGCATATGCATGTGATACGGATACTTGATGAGGTCAATTGGGTGTTCAGAGGGATTGAGCTTAAGAAGCGGCAGCATGGCTACGTTAATGAAACGGGAAAAAAGGGAGCGATTGATTGACTCTGGTCGAGTTTAGCATATGGGAATCGGATGCAGCAGATTGAGCGCATTTGTGATAGATGAGATTGCATTTTGACAATGGTTGGTTTCTGGATTGGCGCATGGCGAAATGGAATAGGGTGCCTATCAAGGCTGCCGAGGAAGAGATGAACGAGCGTTTAGTCAAGCAAGACGTATAATATCGCATGCATGGAATACATCTGTTGGGGCGTTTGTACATTGAATTATCCGAACGAGAATCATTATATGTTTGTGGCTCCGAGGAAGTCCGATTGCTTGTGATGATGGATTGGTAGTGGAGTTATAAATAGCTTTCCAGCCTCTCCAAGGGGGAAACAAAGTTGACTTTTGCTCATGATAATTCCCCACCAAGAAACGAGACGTTATTGGAAGATCAACCTTATCTGCAGACGCGAAAAGCCATGGTCTCAACAAATTCTTAGTTAACCGTTTTCACATGTCAGAAGCACGGTGGAATAGGACCCAGAAAAAAAATGATAAGGAACTGTAGGCGAGGCGAGGCGAGACCTCGTGCAAGATTCTATTTGATGCGGTTGTTTCATGATATGGCATTTGCTCCTCTATTTTCCTCTCGGCTTTTCTCATATGATGGTTTTGTCATGAGGTCTTTATGAGAGAGTCCCTTTACTTAAAAGTCAAACCATACTGCCACATCCACATCATGACTGATTAGTCCTAAGCCTCACTTCATCACCGACTTAACCTGACGACATTCTATTGTTTTCTCACTTCCACTCTCCCGAGACCTCATTCATCCCTTAGCCTGCAGCTCTTGAAACATGGCGTCTCATCTCAGATCATTTGCGCCATCTCTAGACGAGATCAAAGTCGATCAAATCACCGAAAGCAGGATCTTCAACGTCGTCTCCATGCTTCCAAACTCACTCCCCGGGCCAATTCGTTTTCTCAGACGGAGTATCAGCTTTCACACTCTACGTCCAGGTGTGACGGTATCTGGGTCACAAACAAAGCCTCGGCCTCTTTCAGAAGCTGATGTCTCGGCTACAATGGCCCAGCCACTCCAGACGGACATGGTAAAGCACTCAGGTGGATATGTAGAGTCACGAGACTTGAATCCTCAGCCGATGAGTCGAGTCCTTTATTCGGAAGCACCAGAGGATGAGCCAGTTATGCGAGCGGCGTCTGGCGTGCATTGGAAGTTTGCACGCCAAGGTAAGAAACTTAAGGACCAAGAAATAGGTAGTGTTATATACTGACATGGTCCAATAGGAACGAACCTCGTCAGTATCTCTATAGATGGAGGCAAAGCTGCTGTGGCAGAAGAAGATGTTGCGTTTGAGCGAAAAGCCTTTGTTGACGGGGTGACATATCTTCTCAAAGCTCTCCCGCAAGAACTTGACGAAGGCGAACTCAGAAGAATTCAATGCGCATTGCCAGAGCAAGTCAACGTGTCGGATATGGCTCTGGCTAGAGCAGAACCCGACTCACAACGCGTTGGTCCTAGTCAACCCCGTTCAATCATTCACCGCGGAGTCCAAATGACAGTCGTCAATCTCATCTTCTTCCTCAGCTTCCTAATGCCATATCTGCTGTTACTCGTTAGATGCGCAGCTCGACTGGAGCGCAAGTACAAGATCTCCGAGAAGGTCGTAGGTCACGGCGTGGACTTGGTCAACTCAATTGGCAAGCAAAGCGCTTCGCTTACTGAAGCAATCGGGCAGATGAACGATGGCAAAGTTGCTCAGGCTCTATTAGAAGTGTTTGTTTGGACTGTCGATGGTGTAACTCAGGGTATCTCGGATGGACTCGGGGAGGGTCTTTCGATGGTGGGGTCGAAACCAAAGATGAGTGGCTAGAGGCCTACAAGCTGAGGGAACTTGCATCAGAGGGAGTTATCATTGGGGATTTAGACATAGAGATAGAAGGATGATCATTGGCTAGCGGAGTTTTGTTTTGATACTGGCATTTACATAGCATAAGGCAATTGACATTGCACGAGACCATAAAATACACGCTCTGACGCTCAATAGTTCATATTCGGGGATTTTCTTCCATCTTCATCTTCAATGCTGAGCTAGTGGCAATGCTCCAGGACCCTTACAGGCCTCTTCGCCTCTGGCCCGGTGCTGACCTCCAGTGGAGCACGTGACAGATCCGGGATCTAACCCAATCAGGGTAGAGCCTCGCTGCCAATTAGACGATAAGATAAGGTAGCGCTGTAAAAATTTCATTTTTCCCAAAAGTAGCAGCGCGCGACCCTTGGACGCCCGCCAATCTTCATCCATATTATAATCCTCTTTTTTTCCCTCCTCCAATTCTTGCTTCTGGGTTTGTAGTTTCTATCAATCGCAGAACCGGAATCTCAGCGTCAGTTATTGTCTTTAATACCCGGCATCATGTTTCGATCCAGCCTTAGGCGCTGTGCCACTCAGGCCAGATCCGCCGCTACAGCTGCCCTCTTCACACAGACTCGAACTGCTTTGCCTGCTGTTCGCCGTCAGGTCTTGACAGGCCACTCTTCTATCGCCGCCATCAGCCGAATTACTTCCATCACACGCGCTTACAGCACCGAGGCTGCTGCTGAGCAGAATGAGTCTGAGTCTGCTCCTTCAGCTGAAGCTGAGCCTGAAGTTCGCTTCGCCGATCTTCAGGGCATTCACCCCAACCTTCTCAAGCCCATCATCGACGAAATGAAATACGATACCATGACACCTGTTCAGGCCAAGACCATCCAGCCTGCGCTCAAGGGAACTGACATGTGAGTTCTGTTTGCATCAATTAAAAAATATCGTACATCAGCTAACATTCAATCAGCGTTGCTCAAGCCAAGACTGGTACCGGAAAGACTATTGCATTCCTTCTTCCTCTCCTGCAAAGAATGATTGAGGAAGACAGCACACTCGCCGACAGGAGCGCTAGACGTCAAGCCCGATCTGATGATATCCGTGGAGTTATTCTCTCCCCCACACGAGAGCTGGCCGAACAAATCGCCGTCGAGGCTCGCCGATTGGTTTCACACACTGGCCTCGTCGTTCAGTGTGCTGTTGGTGGCACTGACAAGCGCGGCATGCTGAACCAGACTCGACGACAAGGTTGCCATCTTCTTGTCGCTACTCCTGGTCGTCTGAACGATCTTCTCCAGGACCCCGGCAGCGGCATTGATGCCCCCAACCTGGCTGCTCTGGTCTTGGATGAGGCCGACCGAATGCTCGATGTCGGCTTCGAGAGAGAGCTCAATGAAATCATCAAGTGCCTCCCCAAACCTGAAGAGAAGGTTCGCCAGACCATGCTCGTTTCTGCCACAATTCCCGACAGTGTCATCCGCCTGGCCCGCAACATGGTCAGAGCCAACGACTTCGAGTTTGTCCAGACCATCCCCGAGAACGAGTCTCTTACCCACGACAAGGTTCCTCAGCATATCGTTCCCGTCTCCGGATGGTCTCAGGTCTTCCCCACCCTCTTTGAGCTTCTGGAGCGCGAAGCCGCAACAATCAGGGAAACACCTGGTGCCATGCCCTTGAAGGCTATTGTCTACTTCAATACCACTGCTTTGGTTGAACTGGCTGGCGAGCTATTTTACCAGCAACGCCAGAATGCTAAGAACGACGGCACCCCTTATTTCTCTTCCTATGTCATGCAGTCAAAGCTGAGTCAACAACAACGCCAAAGAGCTGCCGATAGATTCCGCGAGGCCAGATCCGGTGTCCTTCTTTCTTCTGATGTCACAGCTAGAGGAATGGATTTTCCTAACGTAACACACGTTATCCAAATCGATACTCCCCGGGAACGCGAGTCTTACATTCACCGACTTGGACGAACTGGTCGCCAGAACAAGGAGGGCCAAGGCTGGTTGATCCTCCCCAACTCTTCCGTCCGTAGCGCTCGAAAGATGCTTCAGGGTCTCCCCATTCAACAGAACAGCTCTCTCAGCAGCGCTGAGACTGACGTGGCAGGAGGTGAGACTACTCCTCACCACGAGAAGACCAAGGCTCTCTTTGGTACTCTGCCTCGTTCAATTCTCGCTACAGCCTATACGTCCATGTTCGGCATGGCCACTGACAAGGCGACAATCGCCGAAGAGGTCAATGAATGGACACGCCATGGCTGGGGATGGGAAAAGCCCCCGTCTGTTTCCTATCCGTGGGCTCAGAAGATGGGATTAGCCAATGCGCCAGGCATGCACTTTTCGGAACCCGGCCAGCGATTTGGTGATCGATCTAGTGGACGGTTCGGTGATCGATCCGATGGATATTCAAGCCGAGAAAGCAGTGATCCCTTTGATTCCATGGCAAGCAATGCCCGCCGGGATGACTATGGACGTGGCAGATCTGGTGGTTTTGGCCGCGGAGGCTCAAGCGGTGGTCGCTCAGGAGGCTTTGGTGGCAGCCGCTCGGGAGGATACGGTGGTAACCGTTCAGGAGGCTACGGTGGTGGCCGCGGTGGTGACCGAAGCTCTGGTGGCCGCTCAGGAGGCTACGGCGGACGCTCTTCATTCTAAGTGGTGAAAGGCACTCCGTGAAAACGGCGAAAATGTACGAATAATAACAAGACCAGATACCTTTGACGGATGGGATGTGTATGACTTGTACTTCGATTGGGCATTTTTGTATTTTATACTAGTGTAAGATATGGGAAAAGGGGTTTGGTTTATAGACATGTCTGCAGGCGTCACTGGGTATTCTCCACGACAACTCAACTTAAGAAATGATGATAATCTGAATAACAGTCTTGCTTTGTGATTCTCTGGCTTATTGTATGTGGTTATTTGACCAGCTAGCAGACTTGCACATTGATGAACTCAACCCATGGAATACATCCCCAACGCCTGATATACCAAAGATATTCGTAGATACGCTCACTCCAATCAACGCCAAACTAATAATGCTTAACATCATGGTATTCGTTGGCCCATCAGCATATTGGCGTCCCACAATAACACTCTCTCGTCCCAGCCCACAGAAGCCACCCAACCCCCCATACCAAAAAGACACCAGTCTACTCCCGTGACAAACTCCGTATGTCGATTCATGATTCCCATCTGACTTCCTATTGCCGGTCCCATTGCCGGGGCTTGCTGCTGATTCGAACCGTCATTCCATAACCGAACTGTCATGTCGTAACTGGCACTTATAAGAGTGTCGCTCGAATGGGGACTCCACGATAGGCGCCGCACAGCATATTCATGGCCTTGCATGATAGACAACGGACCTCCGTTAGGGTTCCGTATGTCAAAGGTGCGCAGAACTCTGTCTACACCACCTGTGGCTATCACCGTGTCCCGGTACTTATTCCAATCGTGGGTAAGAATCTCGGCAGGCGCAGAAGCTCCGGGTGACGGTTGCGGTCCAGAAGCGTGGACCGGTATCGTCGCCGTGAGGTGGTACTTTGCCGAAGAAGGCGTTCGGAGGTCAAAGATTCGGAGGTGGGAGTCGGAGGAGACGGCGGATATCAAGGCGGGGTTGGAGGGGCAGAACGATGTGCTGTAGGTACAATTTCCGATGGGCAGCGTCTTTATCGAGTGATTTCGCGTCGGTGACCACTGTGAAGGGTTAGAAATATAGCTTGTGCATAAATGGTGTAGGTTGGCGTACAATCTTGACTGTGCCGTCCCATGAACTCGATATGAATGTATCCTTGGTTATAGGGTTCCAACAGACAGAGAAGGTTTCTCGCTTATGCTCGTGAAAGTTCATAACCGGAAAATCGTCAATTCCCAAGTCAAACAGTTTCAACGACCCATCGCCACATGCAACAATCAACTGGTTCTCGTTGATCTCGGACCAAGCCAAGTCGTACAGAGCATCGTTTGTATCGAAACTGCGACGACGAAATTAGCTTCAAGTAACACTCCATAAGTCCAGCAACGGGACGTCACATACGTTTTCTCAACTTGTACGCCCTGCGCCGTCAGAGCGAGCGCAAATACCCGGCCATTGCCCACAATGCCAAAGTTGGCAGAAGTCGCAACGGCAATTCGCGAGTCGTAGTACGGGGAATACTTGACAGCGTAGGGATTGTACCCTTGGGTTCGGAATTCTAGCATTGCAGCCATTGCGCTGAAAATTGGTCTTCAGAGACCGCGCGCATGTGTTAGCTGTGATATTATGGTAGAGCAAAGAAAGCTACGGTGGACAATGGGCTTGGGCTTGTTTAGATCGCAGAGCTTCCCCTCGAAGCTATACTGACATGTGCCTCGGTTTCGGTAATCTCACAAGCCCGCGGGGCAGAGTCGCGTTTATGTTGCTAACCGGGTCATGCGTCACCTGCGGGGGTATGTGATAACCGGAGTCATTCTAGTCACGTGGTTTCGTGTCTCAACTTTTCGGAACTTTCGCGATATCGTGTCACCATCCGCCCCTCATCACGTCTCCCAAATTGCGAAATGCCGGCGCATCTGTCAGAGAGCGCTTTCAGTTACAGCGTATAACATATGCTATTGGATATACGGGAATCAAACTATGAAAACTTTTTTGACTCGTCCCAAGCGGAAATCATCTCCAGGGCTTCAAAAGGAAATCGCAGAACCAGAAGAGTCAACCGAAGTCAAGTTGGCTTTATTATCGTCTTTGCATCCTCAACTTGATCAGGAAACTCTACTAGACATCTTACTAGCGCATGATGGATCCGTTGCTGAGGCATCGGCGTTGCTTAGAGTCCAGGCCCCGGTGAAGAAGGGCATTCGAGTTATTGGATACCAGCAGTCCTTGAAGCAATATGCAACCCCAAGTGACTCGACATCCTTGGATTCTACACCTAAGAAGAAGAAATTAAAGTCAAAAGCCGGAAGCACACTGCACCTGTATGATCCGGAAGACGTGGCTGAACATACGCCGTGCACGATTATACACAACTTTTTACCGGCTGAAGACGCCAACGAATTACTCCAAGAACTACTTGAAGAATCAAAATCTTTCGAGAAGATCACTTTCCAATTATTTGAGAACGTAGTATCAAGTCCCCATACGTCAAGCTTCTATGTCGAAAGCTACGACGAGATCGAGCGGCAGAAAACAGAGTACCACTACAACGGTGGTCGACTTACGGTAAATCTAGTGATCGATTCTACTCACAGTCTTTGATTAATCATATACAGGATGTCCGGCGCATTACACCTCAGCTTATCAAGGTCAAGCCAAAAGTCCAAGAAGCTGTCAATTCCGAGATTCAGAAACGAATCAAGACTCGATACCCTGGCGGGAAAAAGTTGAAATATCAATCTCCCAACCCCTGGGTCCCAAACTCAGCATTTGTCAATGCATATACCGGTCCACAGCAGAATGTAGGATGGCATAGCGACCATCTCACCTATCTCGGGCCTCGCGCCGTCATCGGGTCTATTTCACTAGGGGTTGCCCGCGAATTTCGAGTCAGACGTATAGTACCCAGAGACAGCGATACGAAAACGGTCCAAGAGCAAGATGCACAAGGCCAAATATCAATACATCTTCCGCATAACTCTCTTCTCGTGATGCATGCCGAGATGCAAGAAGAGTGGAAGCATAGCATCGCGCCGGCATTATCGATTGATCCACATCCCATTTCTGGCACGACGCGTATCAACATTACATACCGAGACTACAAGGCAAACCTACATCCACGATTTACACCAAAGTGTCGATGTGGGCTGCCGTGCGTTTTGAGAGCGGTGACGAAAAAGAAGGAGAATTTTGGAAAATACTTTTGGATGTGTTATGCCAACTCTCCCGGACAGGAGAACTGTGGATTCTTTCAGTGGGCTGAGTTTGACGATGATGGGAATCCCCTGTTTAGAAAAGGAGTTGGCACCAAGACTTAGGAATTCAGAATAACCGTTATCGAGCCAGTTATTGTCTCTTTCTTAACTCTTGTATAAGTCTGATGCGGTGGAGCCCCTTTTGATACTTAGTTCTCTAACTGAGAAAGCCCTATCCCTTTAAAGCCTCTTTAGATGTTGGCCATACATGCACCAACGACATGCACCATGGTGTTCCACATAGAATCTGCACTTTCGTTTACAAGTTGGTCAAACATTGGAGACTCAAGACAAAGACCAGTATTTGCCACAGACACTACACCACATAGCATACGAAAGAATGTCGACTTGATTTGACTGTGACTGAAATAGAATTAGCCGCGTTGGCCCAGCCAGCTCCCTAAATACGCACTTCTGGTAGCCTATGATTAGGTATCCTGAAGTTCGAAGCCAGGCATCCTCCAGATAATGGAACATGTAAGCTCCCCAAGCTGAGAACCATATCCACCCATTGACCCATCTATATTTTATGGTACATATGATTATAGAGATTTAAAAAGTTAAGTTGAGTGATCCTCATGTAACAAATGTACTCTTGGTATTCGTAGGCCGTGATCCAATCCATTCTTTTAGGGCACCAAATCGGCAGGCCACGGCTAGCTGAAGAAGATTGGCATTATCAAAATAAGCTAGATAATTCCAGCGTGATATTTCAAAGGTTACTGATGCTTTTACCATTCATTCATCATTGCATGGGTTGAGTAAATCAACTCTGTACTGGAAGCATTCACGATTCCCTTCACATAGCCCTGGGAATATTGGCAGATCGAATTACCTCCACTTATTCAGCCTACCTATGAGTAAATGGTTTAACAGAATGGGAAGATACATACTCACTAGAAATACATGACGTCTATCTACCCAAGCCTTGGGTGGTGATCCAGGCTGACAGGCCTTCTGCCAATGACGGTTGCTCTGCCTTGTCAAATGGCCCTGAACAGCCAATCTGAAACGCCCAATAGAAACCAATTCAAGGCTTCTGAAAACTGGTGGTTGTTCCTTGTGTAACGCATGGCGTTGCTAGCTGTTGGATCTCCGTGGGATGCGTGGCCACTACCAAACAACAGCTCATTGACTTTGGGGGCGAGATTCAAGTGAAAAAATGGGCCGTCTCAATTGGACCTGCCATTCTTTGAAATTCTTGACTTGGAATGGCCTTGTTTCCCGGCCTCTGCCGATTCATCATGTTTCCGCCGAGTCCTGGCAACAATTTTCAGGGGTTTTGTGAGCAGCCGTACCACCAGTATGGCACCAGATCATTAATGAGCCCAATGTTACGCCATTTTGATCAGTAAGCGCTAGCATTTAATTCCTCCATTTCAACGGATCTGTATGATGTTATCGTGAGGCTCCAGCTGCCGAGGATGTGCTCCCCCTATTTGACTCCTGACAAGTTTTCAATCCACAAATACTCCCGTTGTTTGCTTGAAACTATCCTTGATATGAACAGAGTACATAGATATGAAGATACAGGCCCGATCTGATTGTCTTAGATCTATTCGATCTGCCCCGCAGCATCCGCAGATGCTCTTATTCATGTGACTTGGATTACCCAATTGCCCCATTCAGAGTCTTGGAAATCTAGCCTAATCGGCTATTATGATACCGAAAATAGCTACGACAAAAGTTAATATTCAATAGTTTAGGGCAGTAGTCTACCTACTATTTAGGTACCTAGGTAGTGAAGACCGGATATCATCTTCGTACCTGGGTAACTTCGATCCGACCTGATATCCTTTCATGCTTGTCTAGTAGTTGTTGCATTATCAGTTGAATCGAGTTCAGTTCAATCAAAGAACAACAAATATTCACTGCAGTCGCTGGAACTCACTAAGTTCAAGTTTGAGATATGAGAAAGCGTTATCCAGTTTCAGAGCTTCTGTTCATGACTCGATCATATGCCACTCCCTTTCCACAAGAAGCTGTCTTCTCTACTCGCTATATGTAGTACTGCCACAACTGAAAAGCATGCGAGAATATAAATCTTGATCGTTTTGAGTCTCAAGCTGCTAGGATAAATTGTTAGTGCCTCGTGGTTTACGGCGAGTTATTTCGAGTAATGGGTTTGAATCTAAAACTACTGGGCTTTCTCGGATCTGTTTCAGTTGCTATCCTCAATAGGTAGATCGAGCTACCAGTTGCTAATCATCCAAATAGCCAGAAAACGCACTGCCTCGCTCTGGAATACCATAGATGAATGAAGCGGCACCCACGCGCGAAACAAGGCAGGATAATGATCAGCATTCGTTATGGGCCCGGGGTTGCTTCATTGAAAAGGAAGTCAAAATAAATCAAAATGAAGATCTATCGCAGGCATCATTCGCTATCCTATTGAAGCTTAATAATTCTATACTAGACTTCGAATTCATCGTAATGATTTCTATATTCATTGGTTGATTCGATTGCCAAGGCCCGTGAACGGCATGTGGGCCGCGCCTGCCGCTGTCACATTCCCGCCAGCGGTTTCAGCCAGCCGCTGCCTGTATCCTTCCTTCCAATCAGGAAAGTCAATTTCAACTTCATCTCAACCAATATTATCGATTTAATACTTCAACCTAACACCAACACCTGCGCGGTATCGTCTTCGCGTTAAATCGCCACAGAATATCGGAGCTCAAAGAACGATTAAATCAGATCTTGTTCATCTACTTCGCCACCTCACCCAGTCTCTTGAAGAAGTTGTCGGCGGCATATTGGAAGTTTCTATAACCTACCTACAGAACAGCGCTACGAGGGCAACAGTACCTGGCATCAAAGCTCTCTATTTCATACCTTGCCTTACCTTCCGAGATATCTTCTTCATCTTCTTATCCCCCTTAATCAGATCCTATCTCATCGCCACGGGAAAGAACTCAAAATGTCGGAGCTCAACTTCCCCGCATCCTCAGCAGCTATGCTAGAATCCAGACTTCCATCATCAACAAACCCGTCTGGAACCTCACGGCCATTTGTGACACTCACATTTGCAACTTCACTTGATTCATCGCTTTCTCTGGCCCCTGGCGTCCGAACTCGACTCTCCGGGCCCGACTCAAAAGCAATGACTCACTATCTTCGTTCACGACACGAGGCTATTCTCATCGGCGTTTCTACTCTCTTGGCCGATTCGCCAGCCCTAAATTGTCGTATAATCGGTGCTACAAGCCAGCCCCGGCCCATTGTCATTGATCCTCATCTCAGATGGACTCCTAGCAGCTCCGACAAAGTCCTAGAGGTTTCTCGCCTCGGTAATGGTTTAGCTCCCTTTGTCCTGACTGGTGTGTCTAGCCAGGACTTACCTGCTGAGAACGTTGCACTACTCGAGCAGCATGGCGGAAAGTATATCCATGTTCCGACTACACTAGCACCCAACGGACGCATGCGCTTTGATTGGCATGATGTATTCAGAGTCTTGCATCATGCAGGTCTCTTCAGCGTCATGGTCGAGGGAGGCGGCCAAATTATCAACTCCCTGCTTGATCCTCGATATCACGAATTAGTTGACTCCGTTATTGTTACTATTGCACCAACCTGGCTCGGTCAAGGAGGCGTTGTCGTGTCGCCAGATCGCCTCCAGGATCCAGCAGGTGTTCCGATTCCTGCTGCGCGGCTATCGAATGTCTCATGGCATCCTTTTGGCGAAGACGTTGTCTTGTGTGGCACGCTTCACGCCTAGTGCCTAAAGCTAGGCTATATTTATATACAAGCCTCTAATTATGTTTCAGCCATCCCTCTGCTCTTCTCAACATGTATCTGGGAAACCCTCCTTCTCCTTGCTCACCTTGTCCTCTTACCCCAAACTCCTATCTCTCCCTGTAATCCTGTACTATCATAATTCCTGCTGTCATTCACTGGCGCATTGAACTAAAACGCCACCGAGTACGATACGGACATCACGGCGGCAATATCTCAGGCGAATTTCTGTTCCTCTTTCTCCAGCATTGCCAGGCATGCAGGATATGAGTGCATGCGCCTCAAACATGACCCATCAACCTAACTTCCAAGGTTCGAAGCGGGTAGTAGGCAATCCCAGTGACCACGAAAGCTGATTCAAAGCCCAGGTCACCAATTCGCTCCCCAACGGGTCCAGTGAACCATGGCGTGTCCATTGACGGGACCACCAACCCAAGACTCACCAAAGATGCTCCGATAGCCGCGAGTCCAGTTGGGAGCCGTCGTGCTTGATTCCATATCGCGGGTTCATAAGAAAGGTAGTTCATCTTTCGAAAGACTATGAGTTCTTCGATGACAATGGCATCAAAGCATCCCGCCCAATAACCAATCACAGACAGAAAGTTAACAAGGGACTCCTCCCATTTAGCAGCCGCATAGATCGACATTGGGATCATGATAGCCAGCGTCGCGACTATGAACAAGAAGCGCGGCACCTTGGCAAATGCAGGAACAAGCATCTGCAAACACAAGGCGACTGAATAATTGGACAGGACCATGTTACCAACAACACTCAAAGCGAGAACGACAAGAACGAACTTGCCAAAACCCCCTGCCGGTGCGAGCATTTCAGCCATGACGCCACCGATTCCATAATTATCCCATGCTGTTTGCCATGACTCGACATTGGGGAGAGCACCACCAATGGCAGCTCCAAGAATGAGCAGAGGTGTCGATGGGGTGATCAGGCCAAGGTACACGTACATAAAGATCTTGAGCCTGTGAATTGGGTGAAGGGTTGTCAGCTTTGATTTATCACAATACAATATCGAGGAATCCTTACTTGGATGATTTGGGGTCGTGATAGACGGTAAAGTCGGAGACAGTCCCGCCAAAAGTCATGAAATACCCTGCCATTAGACTTCCATATCCGACGACACTTTTCACAGATGCCGGGTCATGGTCAGCCTGGTTCATCAGATGCTTCCCGCCACAGCCGACGGCAATGACAATGGCAAGCAAGTTCGGTAACCATTGCCATCGTTGCCAGATGTGGACCGCTTGATATCCTAGTAACGCGAGACAAAAACTGACAGTGCAAACTATGCCGATGCCTACGTTCACACTTATATTGGCCTTCTCATTCACAGCTGCGATGGCCTGTCCGCTCACGATCGACCCCACGAGCGTAAACCCTGTTACCGTTCCAGCGTTGAGCAGGACGGGAATGATTCCAAGATAGAGTCTGGCAAATCGCAATGTCAGAAATCTCCTTGCAATGATCTTTGAAGTCTTGAAACGCACCCGAAGGAATATCGAGCCTGTATCATTTGTCTCATCCCGGTCTTGCACCCCCCGATACTGATAACAGCCGGGGGGATGCATGTTACAATGTTGAAAAAGATGATTATCAACGATACATCTCGCAATCCTAGTCCGTATACGGCCGTGCCGAGAGCGCCAGTTGGCAACCTGAGATATTATCAGTATATGCGATCATCAATAGGTTGGGTTATGCCACCGACTCACGGTAGAATACACAACAGACAAGTGAAGAACACAGTAAAAAGATTGTTGTGCTGCGTTTGGATTCTTTCCTCGATGGGCACTGGCCGAACCCCATTCTCCTCGACACCAGCGTCAAGCACTCTCTTATACCACCTCGAGAATACACCAGTCTTTGCGTTCCCAGTAGTCGAAACACTGGCACTTTCTCCATTTTCGGTATTGTGTCTGGCGCGTTCGGATAAATGGAGCTCATGGTTAGCTTCCAAATCCTTGAGAACCGCCATTGTGATGCTGATGATCAGTAGTAGTGCAAGGCCTAAGGTTTGCTGGACGTGCAAAGAAGGGCGTAAGTCTCTGACAAGGCTTAACTTGCTCTAGTATCATGATATGTCAAGCCCGACCTTAAGGTAACGAAGAACCATGTACCTCTTGCATGCGCCGCTCGAATCTGTTTGCCTACTGTAGTCTACACAATTCGACAGCCGTTCCACAATAGGCTTAATGAAAGCCCCTAGACGCTGTGATCCTTTCTTTGCAGTTGACCTGATCACAGCCATCAGCCAATGATCTTGGGAAACCAAGATTACAACACCAAGGAGTGCAATCGGATGCGGGACCGGATTTTGCAACTTTGTTCCCAACTGATGTGTCACAATAAATGTGGCGTGCTAGGATATATGCTGGTGTCTAAAAGTTGGCTGCAGTGTGCTTGTTCTAAACAACACAACAGCCATCTTGTTATCTGGGGCTGAACCGAACCAACTTGGCTGATACATCACTGTACTTAGGGCTAAGGTGTGGTGTGCTTCTCAGTTGGTTCGTGCGGCTAAGCAGATGAACCCATGACAACGACTGGCTGCGGCTTGTGCTGCTTGTCACTCACATGCTCATCAGAGTCAGCCATGAAGATTTCTCTGCTTGCATAAGGGCAGGGACGGGCCAACACCGAACTGGCCCGAAACCTTGACGATCATGATTATGCTCTAATGCAGATAAAAGTGCGGCGCGACGGCCCGTGTCCAAGGTCCAAGCTAAAGCATTGTGGGACTGTGATGAAACATGGGCGTCAAACACTCGCAAGAATCTTGACAGATACAACATTACAATGCGAGATACTATCTTGCTTTTTCTTTATATACTTGCGACTCGTATGGAATGCTAGTAATTGGGTACAGAGCGGGTCAGCGTCTTATGGATGCGAATCAAGGACAACTCTATACATGATAAAAGCCCGCGGGCTTTTGACAGCAACCACTCCGGCTTCTCGGTACTACACAATACATACAGTATGTTTATGCAGCTAGCGGGGATAGAGTGGAGATGTAGAATGTTTGCTTGATCCCTGTTACGTCGATGCAACATAATGTGAAAGAAGATGCAGCTTTCGCATCCTTCACCCAAATTTCATGACCAGGGCTGGTCCTAGAACGCGCCATTTAGGCCGAAGTCCTGCCTTTCTTTCGTATGATAGGTAGATTACAAACGAGGCATACCAGTCGCCCTTGCAAGGATTCTATAGAGCAGCCAAGCAAAGATGTCACGTATCGCTGTGGTCTTGTTTTCTTGGCTAGCTTGTTATCTCCATCCACTATACATGTGTTACCATAAACAGACATGGTCCTCTGTAATAGTGTAGGAATGGGGCGTTAGTGAGTGGTGCCTCTTCCTGCACTAAGTCGACAACGAGTCGTGACCACAAAGCTGACTGAAAGATGCATTACTGCCTCCATAGTCCTGCGCTTTGACTCGACTACCAACGAGCCGGGCTGAGGTAACACAACACAAGCGAATGACTCTGCCGAGATGCCCCACCTCTACAAGGGTCTTCGAAGATTCCATCAAGAGCCAATTGGAATCCTTCTTGAGTAACAGGGTCCTGTGGATCGGCTAAAATAGACTACCAGTCTTGGGGAAATCGCGTTAGCCATTGTGACCTCTGCAGCCGGCTTCAAGCATCTTAAATGCAGAGACTAGGTAAGGGTGAAGTAAGCCATGGGTACAGCTCATCCAAGGGGAAGAGAGCCAGCATTATCACATACTATAATGTGCTGGGCAAGGGAAAGTAAAGCGCACTTCCAGAAATGGCAAAAGTTTGCGACTTTGTTGGTGGATATCAATAGACACAACCCAGTATCTGCCAGTCATGTTGCAGTGAAAGAGTGTACGTAGTATCTGCACTTATTTTCTGGTATCCATGAGCACATGGGACCTGTCCTGCTTCCGTACAGCATGTGAGGATTGGCCGGCCATCGCAAGACACACTGAGCATGACTTACTTGATATGGTATACCTGATCCAACATGTTATAGTACTCTTCCAAGCTGTTGGGAGGGATGTCTTGTCGCTATTCCGAGTTGCTGTTGACAAGTGCCTCAGCTGCGAGACTTCGCGGTTTGATGACACAGTCAAAGTGCTCAGGGTGACTAGCAGCAAATACCATTGTCAGCCATGTGTCAACCACATTATCAAATACTTGTGTGCATGTTTCTAGTTTGGCAAGGGTGCAGAGGTATCGAGGGGCGGTGGGGATAGCTAAAGACAGGGGGACTCAACATACCAGGTTCCTCCATTGGTAAATCGGACTCGGGGCTCAATGAGCTTCCCGTCTGTAGACATTTTCTTACAAAACCGGAGTACGGACAACATCGTTGCTACCATGATCCAGACACTATTGTCGGCCAGAAACCGACCGACACAGACCCTAGTGGTGATTAGTTCGTTCTAGATTTCAAAAGCCGTGACCCGAGTCTCAGTTGGGGTTGGCCTGTCACGTACCGGCGCCCAAATCCAAAGTTGCCAACAGGAAACGGTTCCCCAGCTTCATATCTGTCGGGGTTGAAATCGTGGGGGTCTTTGTAGACCCGCTCATCATGAGCCATGGCATAAGCGTTGGCATAGACCACAGTCCTGGTACTTATCAGATACCCTCCCCACCTTGTAGCATCACTATGATGACAGCATCGTAAGAGAGTGTCTTACCCTGTAAATCATCAGTTGAATTAGACAAGCAGAAACAAGAATTTGCCTCAGATATACCTTTAGGAATGAGCATGCCCTTGTAGATATCATCGTGGAGCGACTTGTGTGGGATCCCTGCCGCGCATTAGTAGCCATTGCAGGGTTTCTTCATTGCCAAACATGAACAACGCACCTAGAGGAGCCAGTGGCGACCAGCTTTGTGAAGATTCCTGTCAGTTTATATTTTGTGTCAGTGATTGGTTAAAAATGCCGCGTACCGATAAATCTCCTGGACAATATGCTCGATGTAAACCAAAG